ATTTTCTTACATATATCCTAGGTCCCATCAGGTAAGTCATTTTATTAGTAGGGACAGAATTGTTGGGCAATGGAAAGGAAGGCATCACATATTCTTCTAATACCATTTAAATGCCCTGTATTACTGGGGAAAAGGAAGGCAGTAAGTCCTTATGATGCCTAAAATGCAGGGTTGCCATTTAGTTTTAGCTAGCACCCTAGGCAATAATGGGGATAGATTTCTTCCCTTCTCACCCAAGGTGATACAATAGCTTGCTCAGTTTATGGGAGAATATGGGAATAGATTTATTTTCTTCATGGAATTTAGCCAGGATTCACAAATTAAATCTTTTATAGTGGTATACAATACTTAAAAGTGGGGGATAGAGAAGAAAGGGAAGCTAGGTCCTGAGCTAAGCTGGATTCAGGAGCTAGTCTACTCAACACATAAGCAGAGGCAGAGAGCCAGAGCAGCTTCCAGTTAGAAAAGCAAGATCGTGGTATTGCGTAAGACAGATCCTACTGACAGTGCAGCAAGGTCTGAGAGCCACTGCCTCTCACAAATGTAAGAGTGTGCTCCCAGCAAGACACTGAGTTCACATCCATTGCCTCTCACCAGATCCTGCTCCTGAAGACAGGCAAGGGGTCCTGGCTCCAAGCTCTTCTTGTGTTCCAAGCTCAGCAGGATCTGTGTGACCTTAATATTGAGAGGCAAAGCTTCACCGCTCCTGCTGAGTGTTGAACTTGCAAGGAGCCACCTCTCACAGCTAGAGGTTTCAGTAGTATGTTGCTTCTGTAACAAGCAGTGGTTCTCAAGCCAACCTCTTCCATTCAGGAGGCCTACAAAAGCTCAGCGGAAGTAACAGCTGCTCAGCATCACGCCTCCTGGAGGCACTCTGAGCAGATTATGGGCCATCTTTCACAAAAAAAAAGCAGTAAGATGATGAAAAATTACATACTGCCTACCTCAAGCACCGCAGGAGTACAGAGTTGAAATGCAACTCTTCCTACATACATCAGTTCCGATCACTAGTTGTAGAATTACTGAGCTTATCCAATTCTTTTTTTAGTTGGGGCAACTATTTGTGACCATCAGGCTTCCTCCATGGTGGTAACTGTCCACCAGATAGTTATTGGAATGGAATCACCAATAAATGGGACACAGAATCAGATAGACTACAGTCAGTATAAATCACATTAATTGCTAAAATCTACCTTTTTTGATACCTTATCAACCTAGGACATTTAGAATCACATTAAAATGAAAAGTAAAATGCTGATTTTCTTGTCTTTAAGGAATGGACATTTTGATGGTATTACTCATATAAGGTCTGTTTAAATCAACTGTCAGTATGGATTTTTGCCACTGATTCATCAGCTCTTCCTATTACATTTCTAGGATGGATATATTGTGAAGAAGTTCTCATGTGTAATAATTCTAGAAAACATTTAGGGATAAAACCCTAATTCTCTCACACAGCAAATTTAATGAGAAAGGGCAGGACTTTCCTTCCAGATCTCAGTTATTATTGTTAAAAAAAAAAAGTAAAAATTTAACTAGACCCTGATATTATGCACAAATAATTTCAAATTATAAAAATCTAGTATATGCCTTACCATATATTTAACTAGTATATGTCTAATAGTATATTTAACTGAGTAGTTATTAGGAAAGGAAAAAAATACTACATTAGAATAATATATTCAATTGATCCTTAGACTCTTTCCATTGTTTCATTACGGTTGTAGTTTAAAAGCAGACCTGTGACTAAAATTCAGGTGAAATAACATAAGTCATTTCAGAAATATACTGGAATGCTATAGATACCTATACTGACCATCTTTTTTGTTACATCCTTCACTCACAAAAGTGAAAGGGAACCAATGGAAAATAAAACTCAAAAGAAATATAAGTGAAAAATTAATAATCTTGCATTCCCATATGTTGCACTTACTATAAGGAAAGTTGAAATGAAAGTGTCTTTTTGCGGGGGGGGGGGCATTCTATATAAATGTCTTGACCCTGATTATAGAAATTATGTATTTTCAAACTATCTTAGGACACTATTTCCTTAAACAAATGGCAGAAGACTGACTGATTTATCAGAAGTCTTTTAGTGGCCATGTTTTCCTGCATTATTTCTAAAAGAGAATTTGCCTACAATAATATTTAAAAATATCAAATCCCACCAATCTTTATACAAAAATAATGCCACCAATCTTATGTTTCTAATTAGTCATAGAGTTGGCAACCAGTAAAACACATTTTGTAAAAGGAAGGCATAGTAAACTTAACCTCACACCTCATAAAAAGCTTTGCAGTCATCCCAGTGGTGGCTCTCGGCATCCTGCAAAATGCTTGTAGCATAAACTCCAACGCAGTAGTTCGTAACTTGAAACTGGAGAATTTTGATGAATTCCTGATATTGTTGGACAGGCCCTAGGAACAGGGGTCTGTTCAGAGAGAATGATCAAAGAGGAAAAAATTGAAAGGCTGTGCAGTAGGAGGTAACAATCCACAGCACTGCAAATGGTTTTGATTATTAGGTATCAAACATTCATTTCCTCTTGGTCCTGGAGTCTGAATCTCACGTACACTTTTGAAAAATCTGGTCTTTGTTCCACAGTTCTTTAAGAATATATATTTTCTCTTCTATAAATTCTTTTTTAACCAAGTCATTGAGAAGTAAATTATTCTATTTAAGGCAAGAGTACCTTTTGCCATTCAGTTGTCGCTATTTCGGGAACATTCTGTGTTGAAACATAATGCATGAGCAGCAAGTGCAAAAAAGAAAACACAAACACAGAGTCCAGAGATCATTTTTAGTAGGTATGTTATGGGCAAACTCTTTCATAATGCACATAAGAATTACTGAGCAAAATTCTGGCTCAGATTCCCCATTCACAGAAGTCCGCTCTATTTAGCATAGGGTGGAGCATCAGAGCTAAAGCAGCTCACCAGTGCGTATAACCCCTTAGAAATCATACCTTCCTTGAAAAATGTTCTAGTTCAAAGGTTCCCCCAACAGGCCCAGTTTCTAATTTTAAATCACATATAGCCATAAACATACAGATCAATAGAGATATTCTTAGTATCTTCAGCCCAAATCTCCTGAAAACAACTAATATGACTATATTGGCCTTCAGAACAAATCCTTGCCAAAATTTGTATTACACCTTACACCACTACTTCCCTACTTTTTTTTTTTTTAACTCTGCATGCAATGATATATATAACTTAAGTCACACTGGTGAATTTGCTTGCCTTTCTCAATACAAGTGGTTATAAGGAAGGAGTGCAGAAATGTATGTTTATTTTATCCTCTAAGATTGCTGCATGCTAAAATCAAGTTTTATGAAAATTCAGATATTGCAAATGTCAGAAAAGGTAATTAAAGCCTTAGCCCTCTATTTTCATGAGAGCACAGTACATTCTATTCACTGGACAATACTATTTACCCATTTTAATAAAAATTGATTTGCAAATCAAATGCATATAGTAAAAATAAATAATTTCTTGTGGCTTCTTTAAATTATCACTACATTTAATTCAGGGCTTTCCTAAATTAGTACATATAATGCTTATGCTAAAAAAATACCATGCAATTTTGAAAACTATCACCACACCGTAGCACTAAAGTGGAGTAAGTCCTACATTATCTATTTTTAATCAACCCACTGTATGCAAGAGGGACTCACTTTTTGCTGGTTTCTCTCATTAAATTGCTATACATTGTAAAATGCTGGAAGACATGTATCACTGTGGAAAGAGCAGCATACAAGTTTTGCAGCGGAGCTTTGGAGGGAACATCTTTGCTTTTCTCCTCCAGTCTTGCCAGGACAGCTGTTGCTACTTTGCTGCACGCCTCTACAAAATTTGTTCTAATTTCCTGAAGAGAATCATCTTTGTATGCCAGAGCCAATGGAAGCAACGTGTCAAGTTCTTCCATGATGTCAGAACAAAACTGGGGAGAAATAAAAGTGGCATCAAGTTATTTGTATTCTGACAGCACTGTTTAATTTATACACACTAGGGTCAGATTCTTGAATAATGAAATTGGCATAAAACCTAAATATATTGAATCGGCTTTACAAACATTTCACTCTGTTGTACAGGGGAAAAGCATTTATTTAGAGAAAATGAGTTATTACTTAATTCCTTCTTGCTTTAAAGCCGCATAATATATATTGAGAAAAAAATTAAAACCATCTTAGGTTAGCAATGTCTTCATTTTGTTTATGACTTCATTAGATGTACACTCAAAGCATAAGTTTAATTCTCTGTAAACAGAGATAATTTTCTAAACTAATTTCTTTTGAAAAAATACAAATACATTTTTAATACTGAATTTCAAAATTGAACTCCACGTCTGATCTCCCTAAAATTTAAGTGTTATTTTAAGCAAACACTTATTGACAACTCCCAATTCTGCTAGACAGTTGCAAAGCTTACTAAATTCAAAAAGGTTCATACCCTTATTCCATTAGACAAACAATTTAATTAATCACAGTGACCTTTTGGCCAAATCACTCTAATTTGGCCTTACTATTAGTTATGCTGATTAGTTAAATGGCATGTCTAAGGAAATAAATACAGGAAATCCCTTTATAGTAATGCTTCAAAGCTTTCAAACATTTTCCCATCAGATCACTTGGTAACAGAGCAGATATTAGAGAGAGAATGTTTTAGAACTTTTTGGATGAAAAAATAATGTCAGTAAAGTTTAGAAGTTAATTCTTTTAAGTATAGACTATGGGCTATTGTATAAAGATCTGTTCAGCATCATAATGTAATGCCTCTCTCTTTCTTCTTAATTCCATTTATATACGATATAGAATATTAATGGCACTGTAAGTACCTCAAAGCACAGATGGCAAAACAGCCTTGGCATTCTGTCTCCCCTCAAACTTCAGATCTTTCGATACCTGCCTTAGCAATTCGTTTTGGTTGTTCCTCTTGTTGGACTGCTCCCCAGGACTCCCTCATTTGCTGGTTGTTTACAAGACTCATCACATAGCCTGCAGCTGAAGACTGCTCTTTCTGCTCATGTTGAAGAATTTTAGTTGAAAAATCCTCAATTGCTATTGCTATACAGTAAGCCACAGAAGAAGACAGGTCTTTAAATGCATTCCTCCAGCCAAAATCCAGTGAAATAAGCTGAAAAACATATTTCTATTAAATCAATTCAAAATCAGTTGAGATTGATATTGAGATTGTTCTAAACTTAATGAATAACCAAGAACAAATTAATTAAAAGGACACCATTAAAATACAGCTCTATAATCTCGAAATTATACCAAGATTTAACAAAAATGAACATGCCTAATGACATTAATTTGTCATCAAACTGATAAAACATATATTTATAAAAAACCTGTTTAAATAAGACTGTTTTTATATAAGCCATGATTTACCCTTACACTTTTTTTAAAAAAATATATTTAATGTAATCTATTTAACAAAGTCAAATATACTTATAACCATTTCAATACTTTTAGTAGTAATCCAGGAAAGGATACCTCATAATTCCACATTTTCACTGCAAGCTAACAGCTGAAAGTTACTATCCACAAATATTAATAGTAAAACAGTTACAGAAGCCAGTTTTTACACAGTCACACTATTTCACCACTTTACTGCTGGATTTAGAAGAGATTAAAATGCTTAGAGATGTCTCGTTTTTAGCCCATGATGGAGTTTACTGCAGCTTCAATCAGGAATTGCCAACCTTTTACAAAACAGTGACTTCTGAGGTTATCTGAAACATAAGAGTGGCACAGAAGACACGGTAGGAAATAGTTATTTTGCCACTGAATTTTCTTTGCCTGACTCATATGACATAAAGCAGACTTAAAGAACTGCACCACTGTAAGAAGTATTTTAATGAAGTAAGATATACTCTAAAGACCCCTACCCATTGGGGACACAGTAGAAGAAAAGCATTTCTAACAAGCTGCAGCTACCATCTTAAAATGGAAGACAAGGAAAGGGGCTATAAAGCAGAGACCTCCCAACTCACTCCAATCTAGAAAAATGCCTCTTCCTTCCTTCCCATTCCTAATACTCAACTTCAAGGAGTCCACAGGCAGCCCAACCACACACCCACTTGCTCTCTCCTTTTTTTTTTTTTAAAGGCTCGACCATGTCAAAATGTTGCTTCTTTTACTATATCAAATATAAGTACATTAGCCTTAGCGATTCAAAGGACATTTTAAAAAGTCATTTTAGCCTTAAAATCAAGCTGTTAGTGAATTATATTCCATTACTGTACAACACTAGATTTTTTAAAGAGAACTTAGGCCCCATAAACTCCCCAGGGTAGTAAATGGCAGCCAGATTAAGACCTAAATCATGTATATACGTTCTAAAAAGCATACTGCTTACTACACAGTGACTCGTTGCATCAAACTGGACATCATGTGAGCACACATCCCTATAGAAAGCATCCTTAGGATGCACCTATATAGCCTTCTAAAAGGATAATGATTAAGAACTCAGCAGGTTTTCTAAGACTTTGATGCAATTGAGAACCGAAGGTACACTGGAAAAAAAAGCTGTGCTATTCTTGTATTCCTTTACTATTTCTTTTAAAATGTAATATCCTCTATGTCTGATGTTAAATCTGTTCTGTTATTATGTTAAAATAAGCACTCTGTGAACGCCGTAAGATTTTATTCTGCTTTAGCTGAGACTTTGGACTCAGTAGCTAAATAATGGAACTCTGGCAATAGGTGTTTATAATGAGTATGGTGACAGATGATATTGGAGACACAGACAAAAGAAAATCCCCTACAAAGTGCAAGACTCTTCATACTCACCTCTTTTACCTGAAGTAACTGTTCAGGAAGCACACTGGTTTCATTTGCTCTAGTTTCTCCTATTAAAAGCTCCCCACTAGCTTTCTTCAGAACTCCTGCACAGTATGATAAAGGGGATCAAAGTTAAGATTAATTCTGTAGAAAAGTCAGCAGCCTACAACACCTTCTGATATATCAATATGTAGCATAAAAAAACCCTCAACAAGATGTAGTAGAATACTATTGTTATGATAGTCAAATTCAGGTTATACACAGCTCCTTTTATACAACATGATGAAAACCACATCCCATTGTATACATATTTTATACGTACACACATATAATGTAGAAAATATAGCTTCTTTTGTCATTAATTAATTTTTATACTGATTGTGCATCAAGGACTATGCATCAAGGAAATATTTTCTGACTGCTCACTAACTGTGAGCAAGGTAAGTAAAAATCTCCTTGCCAAATCTAAAGTTATATTCAGTAGGCTGAATAACTTTTACTAAAAGGTACTGCATATGACATGCCTTGAAGAAATGGGAAATATAATACATGACAAATATAAACAAACAAAAGAAAAAATACTAAAAAACAAACAAAACCCCAAAATAAACAAAATACACCCTGCTAGCTGTAGATTTTAAAGCCTTCTACATTCTGTCTTCCATAATGGAGTATTTAATTGCTGTGCTATACTGAGCAAGCTGTAAAAATACAAATTCAGAAAAAACAAACTCTTGCCTAGTGCAAATTTGATCTTCGCATCAGTTTGATCTGCTGAAAACTAGGTATCTACTTGAACATCTTGCTTTGAGACCAAAGCGGAGAGGGGAAAAAAAAAATCACACCTCTTTCTTGAATCTTTATAACTTCAAGGTTTATTAAGAGGTTGTACCTCATAAATTTCATTCTGTACTCTCTGTGTTACATTTTCCAGAAATGGATACAGAGCAAAGGATTTCTTCTTACACTGTGAAGACTTTTGCAAGGCTTTGCAGTCCCCTGAGGCAAAGCTTAGAAACCTAAGGGCTTGACAACTTTGCCCACAGTGTTTTCAAAGAGCTCCATTGGGAAAAGCTTTTATTGGTACTCATTATCTGATCTGTCCAAAGTTCACCTTTCTCACTGAAATGAAAAAAAAGTGAGAGATGAAAGCATGTTAGATGTTTCTGATTTTTAAAAGTCTCAACAAGAGGCTTCTGAAATGCCAGAGGAAAGAAACATCTACCTTAAAGACGGAAAGAAAATGCAATTTGGCCTGATTCTAAATCAAGATCTCCTGCTTAACCCTCAGCTACACCTGAATGTTCCAGGTTCCTTCAAAGAGAACAACTCCTGTGATGCTGAATGTAGTAGGTATGTCAGAACACTTCAGGGATTTTCAACAGCACGTAAAATGAGAAGTAGACCATCTCATCACAGTAGGCATGATGGGATATCTGCAAAATGAAGGGTTAAACATCTATTCAAGAAAAAGAAAAAAAAAACAGAAGGTAGTTATTCCTTTCATTTTCTGAAACCTACTGCTAATGGTGGAAGAAAGTGAAGATATGCAACACCAGGAACAACTGTTCTGTAACTGTTAGAAAAATACAGACAGCCTTCTTCAGGAAAGAAGAGTGGTAGTCTTGACCAGGTGACACACTAGAAGCTCAATGATGGGACAGAGATCTGTCATTGTTTATTCTTACGTCTGAGAAAGATCACATAAAAGGAGAAAATAGTGACAAAGATAAAGAGTGAACACTACATTGGTAGCAAGTACAGTGAGTACACCACATTTTCTGGTATTTGTTGCACTTAGGTAACGCAAGTATTGCTGTGACATGAAGCACAAAACTTGGCATGGACATACTATTCAGAGAACATATACTTAGGTTTGAAACTTAAAAGTCAGAAGATAAAAATCAGCATGAACTGGATGGAGAATACTGAAAAGAACACGTAGTAGAAAACATAGTTCATAGATTTTTCTTCCATCTATGCAAAACAGTTTCAAAAAGGAATATATTGAATATATTCCAGAAGATGCCAGACATAGAACTCTCAAACCGCACTCAGGAAACTATCCATATCACCTAAAAAAGCCCTGTACATCCATCTCCCTACAGAGTTCACTCTGGTTCACTGTTTCCTTTGGTGCTATTGTCTGCCATGGGGTTACCATCAGAGAATACTGGTAGGCAGTACTTCCCTCTAACATCTATTTTCAGCCGCCTAAATTGGTCTTCATAGGATTCCATTGTGCACACTGCAAAGAAACTTGTCTTGTTGCCAGCTAGAACTGTGAACTACGTGTCTTTCTTTTTTTCACTGCTCTTTTTTCGGTTCACAAGCAGAATCCGCAGAAGAGACTACATCCAAGCGATAATGCAATGAAAAAGTATGAAGAGAAGCCCAGGTGGCCACCTTGCAAATTTCCAATGTGGAAGCCTTCGACCTCTCTGCCCAAGAAGAAGCTATAGTCCTAGTGTAATGAAGTTTACAAACCCTGGGAGCCTCTTTATCCTTTACTACATACGCCTCCCTAATACAATCCCTTAACCATCTAGCTAAGGAACTCTTAGAAGCCATTTGACCCCTCTTAAGACCCCCTAAGAGTACAAACAATCTGTCAGAAGATATGAAATCTTCGATTCTTCTGTGATAAACCCTAAGTGTTCTTCTTACATCCAATTTATGCAGCCATTGCTCTTTGTCATCGCTGGGTTTAGGGAAAAATGAGGGCCAAGAAACTGTCTGGTTTAGATGAAACTCACATGCCATCTTTGGGACAAAAAAAAACCAAAAATAAGAAGAGGAACTGTCCAAAGAACTACTTTGTTTCTGATGGAACTTTACACGTGTTCTGTATGTCAGGACTGAAGTACCATGGGATGTGCTGAACAAAAAAACAACTAAAACTGCCATTGAAGCAGCAACACAAACACAATACATGGCAAGGCATGAGTACCTGAAAAAAAAAACAAAACAAAACCAAAAAACATTTTTGTTGCATCTCTGGATGGATTAAATAGATAAAAGGCCTTTATCCATAATAAAAGCAACAAAAAAGTGCAAGGTTCCAGGCTATGTGATGTGTGGGGAAACTTTAGCTCACTTGGATGTTGGGCTGCTTATTATGGATTGTGTAGTTTTCCTTAATTTGGCAACAGTACTCTTTGGCAGGACACTGATTTTTCAGGTATGCTTGCACTGCAGTGACTGCAGAGTAGTTTAGATGCTCTTGCTAGTTTAAACTTACATTGGGTGTATGGGCAAGAGCAGCACACCACTCAATCTGAGTGAATTTACTCTGCTGCTTAGGCGAGTTTTGCAGACTCTGCTGCCCTATAAACCTGCTACTAGTACTTGACTTAATTTAAAGCTTCTTTGGACAGATCTGGACTGCATGACCTTAGAAATCTTGTAAAGAATTTAACATCAGAAGGTTTCTAAATAAGTACAGAAGATAGCCATTATATTTTCTACTCATATACAATAAATGTATTCTGGTTAAAATAAGGCATGGATTTTAAGCAATCTGCCTGATCAAAACTCAGGGTTCATTAGTGAAAAAAAATATTATCCTAATATAGGACATTAGCAGAAAAAAATATCTTAAATCCCTTTTGGTACTTAACAGAACTTAGAACTACTGGGAACATAGCTCTCATTCTCCCATATCAAATCATCTTTCATTTCATTACTACTACTGAGATCTGTAACAATATGAAGTGAAAATAACAGCAATAAGCCCTTCTAGTTGACAGATTTTGTTTTGTTTTGTAACTCTGGCCATATCACATGTTCTGTTCACATATTCTCCAAAAAATGATACAACTGAGAAAAATTGTCAGTAAAACTACCTGATCAGAACTGCAAAACTGAAAATAAAGATAAGCCTTATGGCAGCACTAAACCTCATCTTACTGTACATACAATTACAGTAAAATAATATTTCTGAAAAAAAGAAGGCTTAACACACTTTTCAAGAGCAGTTCAGAAAATAATTAGGCTTGGACTACAGAGATACTGAGTATTTGACTCCTATCCTCTTTTTTTTAAGCAGCCTGGCCTCATTTCTGGTATAATCCTTTCCTGCAATATAATCAAAGCTCTTGAAACCACTTGCTCTCTGGTGACCTGGACTCTCTCTATTGGCGAAAGTAGCAGAGTAGAACACTTATGAACATGCTGTGATCTGGAAGGTGTTTTTCATATGAGTTTTGGGGATTTCAGGTTCTCCTCATCTAACATGAATGCAATCAGATGAAAAAATAGTGAGAAAATACAAACTTGAGATTTGATTCTGAAAAAGTTTACTTCTTGATCAAGAGCTTACTTATATAAAAAGCCCCGGTGAAGTCAGTGCCATAAGCATGACACAGTATGCATTTGTAAGTGATCATAAGTACTAAAGGCTAAAGTTGGACTGAAGCATTGAGTTACACGTATACAAGATGGATAACACCAATGTTCAGGTCAGTGCCTTTCTAAGACAAAGTCAGAAAACTTGCTATATCAAAGAACACACCCTCCATATATTATTTTATCTTACATAAAATATAGGCCATTTATACAGATTCAATAGGAGACACTAATATTTTTCATAAAGATAATTTTTCATTTGATTCTTCATCAATAACTACTGTATATCACATATTTATACACAAGAAGTTTTTCCACAAGTCATAACTGTACTTAAATGTACAATCTTCATATTTCAAAAAGATTGTTCAATGGATATATTTTTAATATAATGAGTTAAACATATATTAAGTAGTTAATTTTGAAAAATATATAAAAATATCCTTTGGCACAAACTAGAATCAATAAATAAGGAAAAGTTTTCATTACATTGAACATTCTTCTCAGCAAATGAAGGCACCAACAGAATTTCTGCAGAGTTCTTCAGTTTTTTCTTCCATTAATAAAAAGAGTTTAACAAGTTGAGAGACACATTTGAGCTGATACAATGTTAAACAGAAGCTCCTTCCTTTTTTGTGGGATTCTTGGGAGGCTGTTCAAATAAAATAATGAAATGCTTTTTATTTTTGTGTGCTTGAAAAATGATCTGTCACTTCATTTTTGTCCTAGCATAACATATCCTCTTTCTTATCCTAAACTATCATTACATTAGTTCTTACTAATCCTTTGGTATTTTTCAAGTATCCAGGAAATTACAAAAGAATTCCAGGTTGCATTGTTCATTAACTAGGAGTTTTCCAAGCTAAAGTCCTATACAGAGAACATTCTTACCTGCATTTTACAGGAAAAAAAAAAAAAAAAAGGTTTTGCAAAAACTGATTGAGCAAATGAAAAAAAAAAGTGTCATTACTATATTTTAATGGTTTGGGACATCACATCACAACACTGTCACTCTGCAAGTCGCCTTGTCTGTTCAACAATCCACTAGCACAATACAGCTGATGAATATGACATTTGAGTGAAAAGAGACATCAATCTTACACTCCACAACTTTAAATATGTGGAGTTTGAAAACATGTGAGACTGTCAGTGAATATCAGCAAATATTATACCTATAAGCATTTGGAGTTTAAAAGAAGAAACTTAACATTTTATTTTGAAAGGTTAACACTTACAGTCATAACATATAATCATGTCACATCAACCAGGGAACTCTGCTTTGAGCACAGTTAGACTACAAAAGACTGTGAGCTGTTTCCAATTTGGTTTTGCCAAACCACGCTGTTTAAACAATTTTAATTTTAAAACTTCTTTAAATGTAACAAACTTGCACTTCTATGCAAATTGCTGTAAGCTGATACCATGTACCTATGGAGTTCTGTCGCAGATTTAGTATCAGCAAAACAGTTTATGTAGAAAGAGTGAGCGCCAGAGTAATTTGAAAGACAGACTCTGAAAGATGAAAACAAATATAAATTGATTGTAAGTTGTTGGGGTCAGCCTGAGGCCGGTGACAGGGAGCATCTCCTCAGCAGACCAGGGGGCTGAGCAGGAGAGGAGGGAGTTGCAGCCACGCGGCCAGCGCGTGACCAGGCAGCTCATTGGACGGCCTCGAGTGGTCGGCGTGGGATCACCTGCCTGATTGGCTGGTTGGGTTGCTGGGCTCCGCGTGCTGCCGGGCAGGGCGGGGGCTGCTCCGGGCGCGGAAGTGGCATTTAACCCTAAGTAAAGGTCTTTGGTTTCACCCCTGCCGAAGTCTGTGAAATTCATATGCTGCAGTAATGTACTTTAGTGTGTCATATCTTTCTCACCTTGCCAGTTTGAAGTATTCAGTTCCTTCCCTTTTCCTCAAAGTTCTTAGATTATTTTTTCTTTTCAAAGTGTTCACTTAGAGATTAAACTGCAAATTTTGCATCTACCTCTAAATGAAAAATAAGGCTGTTCTAGATTAGGAAGACCAGTGCATACCTGCTAACTTGTGATTTAACAGCAAGGTTCAAAACTGGTACTGTACTCAAAGCTGTGGCTCTTGAAGCCATTAAACAGTGTTTCCAATTTCCTTGGCTATAGCCTGGAATCATTTATCTGAAAATCTCAAAAGGCATATGAAAATATGCATATCAATTCCAAACTTTATAGTAAATGTTTTGATTTTTTTTCTAGAGCCTGACACTTTTTAACAATTCATACTCACAACATCACACACGCACACACAAATTAAATTGCTTATTCTGATCATTTCATCGACCCCCTCCCCCGCCCCAGGGATGTGACACACCAGTGTGGTGCAGAAATACCTGCATCATAGCTGACCTGGCTGTAGATACTAGGAATAACTGTGCTACAAGAGCATTGCTCTCGGATTAATTAGCCTCACTACTCAGGGTACAGAGCCACATGGCAAAACCGCTTCTGAGGCTCCTCATGGAATCCTTGGAAAGCAACCTGACGACTACCGCCTTTAGTAATTACAGCGGGGACTTCTCCCTCAGCAGGATCTGAGAGTTTAAAACCCTTTAAATCAATATTGCTTTAAAATACTTTCCCAATACATTAAGTATCTTTCCCCTGCCCCCATTTATAAGGCTCAGTTTCACATAAGACAGATCTACAATACTGTTCTTCAAAGGACACAAGAAAGTGATGTCAGGGATTTCATCCAACGAAGCTATATAAGAAAAAAATATATAAAGAAAAAATATAATACTAAATCTAACTACAACCTACATAAAAGCAACAAGGTCATTTCATAAAGGGAAGCAACACTTTGTTGAAATTGAAAATGAAGTAACCTAGCAAAGCAGAAGAAACTGATAGAAATTGATAGTCACTGTGTATAGGGATATTTCAAGGGGTAAAATTTTCAAAACTGTCCACAGGGAGTTATGTACATAAATTCCACTAACAATAATGTGTTCCTCATCTCGCAGCGATATTAACTTTTAAGTGACGCTATGTAGGACCCTGTGCAAAGTGAGGCCGTGTAAGGGGTTAATAAGGTTGCAGTGACTAGGTACCTAATCTCACCATTTGCTTCTGTGAAAATAGCTTGCTGTTCGGATTACGCATAATTAGTTTAGCACAGGCAGAAAACACCGAGAACTAGAACTAACAGGACACCACCTCCTGCTCTTGTTGCAAGCTGCACCTAATCTCTCCATCTGCTTCTGTAAACACAGCTTGCTACTTATGCTGCGTCATCCTGCTCTTGCTGCAACCACGAGATAAGATATCAGCCGTGAAGAACTGATAACCGTAAAATAATGTATGAGAGAGTTGCAACTGTCTATAAAAACACGAACTTCTCCCCAGATGGCATGGATCTCAGGCATTGTAAGAGATCCGTCCCCAGCCGGCTAATAAAGCTTGACCTTTTACCCACCAGGTTGAGTGTGCGGGTGATTGCTGGGATTACGGACTAACAGCTATAATTTATAACAATCTTGCATTTATGACAGCATTTATCTGGAAACTATCTCCTAAACAGAGCCAGTATATAAACTGCATTATTCTTTTCCTTGCATTTAGTAACAATATATTCATTTTTTATGGACATGAGATCACAGTTCTCTACTCAAATGGCATGTTGCTGTATGTTTTTCAAAATAACTGTTAGGTTTTAAATAATTAGTGTTGCTGGGTATAATCACTTATTTCTCCATTGTCTAAAAGGTAACTTAATATCTCTGCATAGCAGATGTAGTACACAATATTGCACATAACTAAATTGTTACAAACAGTGCCAGCAGTTTTCTATCCACAGTACTTAAGATAATTATAAAGATCATCTTCATTACTGCATGCCAGCATTTTTTAACAGTTTAATTTGGATAGGCTACAAGATACATTCAAATCACCCAGACACAATTACTGCAAACCCAAGAAGCCATAAAATGTTCCCAACCAAATCCCTTTGACCCTGTTAATGTCTGTTCCTTGTTAATCTAAGGCAAACATTGTTTGTAGTGTGCATTTGTTATGGAATATTAAAAAAAAAGAAAGGAAATCCCTTAACAGTTGTTATTGAATCCAGCATTTACGGACAGAAAGTTAAGTGCTATTTACGAGACAGAACAGATGCAGATGCTGACAAAAAGGTAAACAATTGTTGCATGGCTTACTGCCAGCTTCCAAGCCAATATATTAAACTCCAAGTGAAGCACATTTCCCCTATAGATTGCATTTATTGCCACTTCATTTCCTATGATGTGCTCTGTCTCTATTGCTGTGCCTGGCACTAAGCTATTTTCAGTCATGTGGTAACCCCGAGGCCTAGTGCTACCTCACATAGCCATTAGTGAGGGGAAGTGCATGTGTCTGACATGGCCTGAAACCAATTATTTGATATTTTCTTCAGAATGATGCCCAACTCTGTTGGGAAAGAGCAATCATGAAATAATTTACCTCCTGATTTAATTTTTTCCTGCACAAATTAGTTGTAGCCCGAGCTGGCTACACACAGCTCCTCGTGACATCTCTCTGTCTTATCAAGATTCTACTTGAAATGATGAAAAAAAGGACAAGGGAGGAAGAGAGCTGACTGGAATAGGTTGGGGAATCCTGCTTTAAAAAGGCATTGACAAGTTTATCAGAGCCACTGATCACATGGACTCGCTGCTCATTGAAAGTGATAGGCCCATAAAGAAACCAGCAGCGCAACACAGGCAGCCGCGTGGGTGCAACTGGTTAAGGTTTTTTAAACACCTGTCTGCTTTGCCAATCCCTCTAATTCCAGGGAAACCTAAGAGGGCAAGAGAATCTGCTAAAAAAAGCTCAGGCAAACACACTGGCTCATTTTGTCCCCCACTTTTTCAAATATGGTCACAGATGTAACGACAACAAATATTTTCCTATTAGACATCATCATTAATTTGTGACTGTTGTAAGTGCTTATACTATGCATCCCTCTATACTGTATATATGTCAAAGGAGAGCAGTGAAGGAGAGGATTTGAAGTTATGTATAAACAGCGTCAGCGTGTATAAATTTGCATATATTTAATCAGGAGAGTGTCGTAAAAAGAGATATGCCACTGCTAGCTATTAAAACAACCTTAGTGAAGACTACGCTAATCTTTTGAAAGAGATTCACTCTACATGAAACTTGAAACAAATCTACCCCATTAATGTCTTCCCACTTAAACAAAATCAGTTTTCACATAATCGGAAAGTTTACTTCCACATCAGGTTGCTAGATGCTCACTTGCAAATGCTTTGGAGCCCTTTGCTAAGATCTAGCATCAAAATAAAATCTTATTTTGAATTCATGTTTGCTGACCAAACAACGAAAGGCTAGACCAGTGCTGGAAACGCACGATGGACAGCAAAAACATTTGATCATGCCCTGACTTCAAATTTGTGCAGTCATTTTAAGCAAATCAGCTCGCCAATCTGCCACCTTGACAGCATACAGCTACTTTACAACTCTGTTGAACAAACTACAGAGAATTCCTCAAGTGCTCTGCCAATGACGAGCTCT